CCCCAAAACCCCAAAACCCCAAAACCCCAAAACCCCAAAACCCCAAAACCCCGAATCATTCTAATAATATTGGGATTTTATTTATCAATATTAAGATGAGGAATCTTGTCAGAAACAATGTTAAAGATCACATCCTTCTTCTCCAAATCCGGATGATCTTCTGACCTACTTTTCTCTTCAGTTAGGGTATGTTGGATACTATCTTTGTGAGATACATTCTGAACATCTTTGTACTTAGCTGTTTCAAGGATCAAACGAGGAGAGATATAGGGCACATCTACAGCTCCAGTCCTGAGATTTATTCTTTCGGTTTTCTTGGCCCTAGCATATTTTCCTTCAAACACTTGAAAGGCATTATTTCCCGTATATTCTCTAGCTTTTTCTTTGATCGGTAATTTTGTCTTGATTGTCTTTTTGACAGAGGTATCCCTACTTCTTAAATCAATAGTATGATTCGGAGAATACAGCCCAGATTGATTCATATCATTAATAATGTTCCAATCATGTATGGATACTGTAGATTTCAAATTTGATGGTGAAAGAGATCCCATACTGAATACATCTTCTTTTGTGAGATCACTAGCTTCTCTTTTTATCTTTCTATGTCTCTTTACTATACTTTAGACAATACTGTACTTCTTTGAGTTCTCCCAATACTTCTGCCAGATGTGTTTAATCTCATCACTGGTGGTGAGAAATTGATTCGACTGAGCAGAGCAAGAGGTTTTCATCCATTCTTAGTTTTAGGCCTGTTGATGCCAGTACTATTCTTTGTCAACCTCTCTCTAGTATTTATATGAGACATCTTACCAAACTTTTGCTTCATCAGAGTTTTCTCTATCATCGCTGTTGATCGAGTGAATATCTTTGCGTTTGTTCTAAAAGTTATCATAAAGTTACCCATTTTTGAATGATTTTAACATGCTCATTGAGCTTATTTAGTTAAGCCGCTAACCTCTTTGATATTGCTCATGACACGGATTCCTTCCATCATAATTATAGTGAGGTTCTCCATTTTGCTATTGATGACTTCAATCTGTCCATTTATACCATTGAGATGCTCTTTTCCAACACGGAGGTTGTTCCACTGTTTGAATTCTGCTTTGTCAACCTATTCTAGAGTGAGCCATTTACCTTGAGTTTCAGAAGTTTCTGTATCTCCTCTACAGATCATGGAGATCCTCCGAAGGAATCTATAATGAGATTTCTGTATTACTGATAATTTTGTTCTTGACTGATTTCTCAGTTTGAGGGATTAGACCATTAAAATATTGTGTCAGCTCAGACTTAAGAGATTTCCTAGAGATTATGGGCTAGTTACATTTCAATATAATTTGCATCAATTTTATTACGCAGATCGAAAGCATCTTCTTTAAACCTTACCATTGTGCTTTCAAGTCTTTTATCAAGATCGGCTCTTAAAGATTCGAGTGAATGTTTGGCTGCTTTTTGTAAAATTATTTCATCAAACCTAGAAACAATCTTTTGAGTATTGTCGTTAACTTCATTGTATTTGTCAATAGTCTTTTCAAACCTAATCATCAATAATAAGTGGCCTACCCTTTGATTTTTGGGAGAATTTCATTACTTAGATTTTCTAGGTGCTTGTAAGCACAATATTTTTCGAAGTTTTTCCATATTTGGTTGCACTCCTTATTTGAAATCGAATTGATTTACAAATTTCTTATGATTATCCTCAACAGTTTGTAGAGTTTTATATACTAAAATAATGACAGCTCCTTACCCTTGTTCATCTTAGTAATGAATAAAGAATGTTCAGTAACTATGTTTCCGATCCTTTTGTCAAATTTCTTCTCAATTTGTTCGAGGTCTTCCTTTTTGGCTCGTCTGAGAAGTCTTCCTTCGAAGTCCATGGTGATATCTTCCATTTCTTTATTTCACTGAAGCTGCATCTGCTAAGTGAGCGTAGGATTTAGCTATTCTGTCAACTTTAACTTCCATCTAAATGTAACCTAGTTCTCTTACCATTGTATATTTGCTCAAAGGAACATAGTCCTTCAGATTCATCTTTAGTTCATGGAGGTCTTGTAATTCAGCATATTCTTTAAATTTAGCCTCCATTAGTATTAGCTGCTCTATTGTGGCCTTTTGGGATATGAGGTCTTTCACTGAGTTGAATTCCCACAGAATTTCTCCGTTAGCTCCTATTTAGATGATTGAGCAATCTTACGTTCGATATTTTCGACTTTTATCAAAGCATTATTGAGTTGTTTAACTCAGCTAGATACATTTTCATGCAACCTATTGATATCCTTCGTTGTTCCAAAAGAGCCGAGCGAACCATCATCTCCGTTAAACTGGGTTGAGAAGTTATGGAACTCTAAATATTACATATTAGGTCTGTAGATAGTAAGCATAAGTACCTTCTTTAGTCAAAAAGTCCTTATTTAAGGACTCGTGTAATTGCCTTTATGGAATGATTTATGAAGCTTACTTCAAAGATAGTTTCGTGGTCTTTTCTGACTTCACTCATTTCTCCAACGAATTCTCTTAACTCTACTTTCTCGTTCTCATCAAGAAAATCTATTCTAGAGGTTTATGAAAGTATTTACTGCTTCACAAAGTTGCTGCTCAATGGATCACCTAATATTAATCAAGCATGTTTGCTTAATTGATAAATTGATATGAATTTTAGAAGTATAGATTTGTATTTAGACGATATAGTAATTAACTCTGATTAAAAATATCCAGTATCAATACACCCCATTCTTAATTTTACTATCCTAAGCAATCCAATTTTCGTTCACCATTAACTTCCTATACCCCAGGCAATCTCTAACATCTGACCCCTTTCTGGACCCCTTGACCCCCAAAATTCCCCTTCTCTACACCCATTTCATATAAAATTTTCCTCCTAAAATTCCAAATTTTCCAAAATTCTCAGTACAAATTTCTCTAAAAATATCTTCACAGCTGAAATATTCCACCGAAGAGCAGGCTGGAGTTTTAAGAGAGTGGACTTAAAGGCTGAAGGGGGTTCGGAAAAGGCACTTACTCATTTATGATAAAGGGAATTTAAATATTACAAAATGATTTTCAAATTCTAAATTTTTAAAAGGGGTTTTGGGGTTTTGGGGTTTTGGGGTTTTGGGG